TTTAGATGAACCTTGAGGCATAATCACTCATAGTCATCCGTACACTGGAAAGACATAAGTGGAGTTATTCCAAACAATGTATGCATCCTGCGTAAACTTTGGCACGAATTATGGATAATATTTCAGAGCGCCAGTAGTCAGGATAAACTACAGAGCATGCTTAGTAAGAGAGATTGACGCTCACCCGTCAATCCCGGGATCCATACCACGTTGTCACATGTGTTGACTGGCTTTCCGAAACAATGACTTCTTAGTTGGAAGTTTCACTAGTTGGATGAATCTTATTGTTCTACTGATCTAGTTACAGCTCATTAATAGCATGAGGAAATTTTGGAATTTTAGCGGAGATTTCGTCCTGTAAGTGAAGATACTCTATGCTGAAAAGCCGAGAAGCACTGTGGGATGCGCGCTGTCGATGATTCCCGATGATGGGGCATCAGACTGGTACAATGCTTTTCGGTTTCTCAGGAGGAAATATCGAATAAAATTCTCAAATCCTCTAGCACTACGAACAATGGTTCAATGACTTTGAAGACACCATCCACCAGCTTCTATAAACAATGACTCACGAAGACCGTAAGCCAGCAACGTGATTCCGTAAAAATGGGTGCGGCACTAAACCCTGGCTTTACGGCAAGGTCCATATAGCGCTCATGACTCAACACCACTTTTTTTAATAAGGACTTTGAGTTATTCTTGTAAATCAGTGGTGGACAGTGAGACACGTCACATACGGAAGGTCCTCATAGGACTGAATTCAGGAAATACAGCAAAGAAACGTCATCGGTTCACAGTAACCGGCAGATACTGGGACGTCGCAGTAGCCAGAACTTGGTACGAGATAAATTGTATTTTGAAGCATAAAATAAGGGGTTCTGAAATACCAGGTACATGCATAATTCGTCGAAAAAGTTGATTCTGAAGTCAAAGGTTGGAGACTAGCAGTGTCTCTCACGAAGTACTTGGTATAATGGAACGGACTAGGATGTCTTTTCGTCAGATGATACGTCCCGCCAACCGAAAAACGAACCACTGAGAATTCGTGTTGCAGCGTGATCAGCACCCACGAATCGACCAATTTCGTTACGTTTATGAGCAGTTGAGCTGTGGGACAGTGGTGGTAGGTGGAAATTCGATTCCCTCTTGGAAGATGACTGCCACACTGAGCGGAATACTGCTCGCATCACCTTTCCACTACTCTGTACGACTCAAGTCACCGCTGGTTACGACGACAACGAAGTCCGGTTTCATTGCATTCAAAGCATTGGGTTTTCTTTGAACATTTAAGAACTGTAAAACGTAGGAAAGGCAAGAATATCGTGAAGTTGTGCAGAATGAGCTCAGAAGCTTACGAAGAAACTAATTTATCCCATACTGATCCATCTGCGTACGATACACAGTGTTCCGATGCGCCAAAGTAATAAAGGATCCAGAAATGCAATCAGCGTGAAAGATTAGATCATTTAAACTAACGTGGGAACAGACTGAATTCAGACAAGTGCATCCGCGGCATATGTTTTCACACACTTTTTGTTAGGAATTATTTTCAAGGACGCCGCCCTGAGATTGTCGGTCCTCACGACCAAATAATCGATACTCGAGTCCTAAGTAGGCAAATTTCGCGTTCCTATGCACGTCATAATTTGCGTTCAGCTGTTTTATTTCGTTATCTATCATAAATCACTTTATTTGCCTACAATTTTGGTAAGTAGGACCTCATAAGATTTAGTTCTATATTATAGTACGTTGGAGTTTTTGGTTTGGGGAAGTAGACCAAATGTCTTCGGTTTCTTATGTGTACAATCGTATGGCTGCACCAACAAAAGTCACAAGATTAAACAGAGAATCGTTTACCCAAGAACCGAATCGAAGAATTCGAGACAATTGGCAGATCAATCAATAAATCAAAATGACAAATGTCTCTTCAAAAAGGACCAGCGTTTTTTCTCCAGAATAAAGCTTTTGGTTCATCTTTTCTAAATGCTCGAATTTTCTCTTGAACAACCAGAAAAGTTTCTGTTAAGGTACTACTTCCTCGTTTTTTACTGAAGGCTTTTGATGGTCCTTAGACTAAATATTCATAAAATGCTTTACCTGTAATGCGTTACCCGTTGGATCCGAAGTCATAAAGAAAAAAGGAGGCTTCCTCTCTATTAGAACGTTCAATGAGGAAGAATTCTTGGTGATATTTTGGTGGCGCGCATAGTCCAGGGGAACAAGCAATCTGCTCACTAATTTGACACAGGGTCGTTTTAGAGAGAGCGGTTTTTAGATGAGCGCCCAATACAGCGCTTAATACACTTACTTACAAGCGAATTTGGTTTTGCGGGAGACTCACCTGAAACCCAGCTAAATCTCTCCTTTTATGGCTTAATACACCCCAACGAAACATTCCTTCCGTAAACACAACAAAAGAAAACTTTTAAATTTGAGGGATCAATTGAAATTTCCTTCAGTAAGTGAGAACAATCTATGCTGAAAAAAAACGAGAAGCACTCTACAGCTGTTTCATCGTTGTTCGGACTCATCTGTTGTGCGCGTCTCATTGAACTCCAGGAAATTTCAGACTCGTTATTTGCAGGCTAGCAGTTTGAGCGATTCACCGATTCACAGTGTCCAATCAATAGTTTGATCGAATCGCACATAGGCAGAAATTAGTGACACTCACGTCAAGCAGTCACACATATCATCGACCGGCTCCACGATGAAAATTTCTCTCGTCAGATGAATTGTATTCTTCCACCGAGCTACTTATAGATCATTGGTAGCGTGAGGAAATTTCGGAATTTAGCGGAGATTTTGTCCTGGAAGTGAAGCTGAAAGGCCAGGAAGTACTGTGAGGTTCGCGCTGTCGATGATTTCTAACAAAAAGGAATCAGCTATACAATACTCGATGACTTTTCAGCAGGAAATCTCCATNATCTCCATTAGAATTCTCGAAGTTCCTCAGAAGTGACCCATGCGACCACCCATAGAGCTGTCGAATGTTTAATTCCTTAGACCATCTATTTTTCATATTTTTTTTGGGCAACACCATTGAAAGTAGGACCTACAGATATCATTTTTGATGGCTGTGTTCTTGAGTTTAACAGCAGTGTTATCGCGCACTAGACAGTGCAAGTAAATACAAGTGGACTTGCTATGCATCCTTGAGACGCAGCTGATTATTCAGTCCGTCCAAGGGACTAAACTAGAGTTTTGTTGTCAGTACCGGGGCACCAGATCCGCTCTGAGTTCCGTTATGAATGGGAAATTGTTTCATTAAGATCCCTGTGTTGGGTGGACATTCTGAACCGTGTTTTAACTTTCATAAAGGAAACTACTCAGGAGGTTGCTGAAAACTCTTCGACAGCCTACGTGCGGTCTCGCCCTTCTTGGGGCGTTACCCGAGTTTCCGTCAACTTTAGGTTCTACTTGAACTCAGATTGAACTGATTTCGACAAATACACTCATTTGCAAATCAATTTGGTTTTTACGGGAGACTCAACTGAAACTCTCGTTTATGATATTCTACAACTGAATGTGCTGCACACAAATCGCCTAATGTTTCATTTGGCACGATATTCAAGAGATCGCAGTATATTCCCATAAAGGAATCTACTCACAAGATTGCTGAAAACTCTTCGACAGCCCATGACCGGTTTCGACCTTCTTGGGCCGAATAGAGGGCATATACTGCTGCTTTCTTCAAGGATATTGGCCAGTTGTCCTCTTTGTCGATCAGAAACTTGCGTCTGTTGTCTTAGCTCACAAACAACGTAGAATACATTTTTGCTTGGATGAACGATGTGTGCTGTGGTGTACCCATTTTCACGCTCCCAATGAACGCATGAGGGCGTCATCGTTCAAGTCTAGGAATCAGCATTTACCTTCTCCTTGTATGAGGAGGTTGCCAAATCAACCGGCTTCAGAATAACTTTATGCTGACTGTGAACGCTAACGAGATATCCACTTGAATTTGGTCGGCCCAGTGCAGCAGAACTAGGGCACTGATATTCTACCTGTTGGGAATTCTGTGAAGCTCATCTCAGGCCAGAGAGTGGTTGTCAGTAAGTCAGTATTATGGTCTTACCAGACAATTTTCTCATGTTTGCGCATTTAAAAGCAATACCTCGACTGCTTTTAATCTTTCTTTCGTTTGGTGTGAGTTTGGAGGTGAATTTAATGACTAGAAAGTCAAAACCGGGCAAAATTATTCGTTTTCTGATGATTTCTTCCAAAAGTGTTCTATTTAAAGAACACTAGCAGTACTGTCGTTTATATCAACGTCCTTAGTAGGTTGGCTCTGTTCTTGTGTAACGCATCACGCTATCAATTGAATGCACTGACTTCTGGCCACCGCTTGCTGGGTAGTTTCGGTTGTGTTATTGATCACTTGAAGGCTGAGATGTGCTCCATTTCTTTTGCTTTAACAGTGTTCCTTCTGCAACTGGCAGATTACTAATTGGGTGAATTTCGCTCGTACAATATCAAACTTCGATTTGACAGCGACATAGTGGTTTCCTCTTAAATATGTAAGTATGCCGTTTCACAACATGTAGGTTCCCGAAGACAGTTAGACTACCTTTCCCAGACCACGGGGTAAAACATCAACTAAAGTTTCTATGAGTTTTACTCAGACAATGAATGATAACCAATAACTTCAGATGTTTAACTTGGTAATCGGATACTTCAAAACCTCAACAAATAGAGGAACATGCCATGTGTGCTCATAGTTTTCTTCAAAAGTACCTTTAAAAACGTCGACTGTACTATGAGCAGAAGAAGCGTGCAAAACAAACTGCTTAAAGTAGCCATTTGACGACTGACCTGGTTGCTGCGTGGTCCATTGATTGTCACGTGACTGACTACGGTGTATATACAATACAGGCAGCAAAGCTTGGTGAACAGCTCAACATTCATTGGTTGTTGCTATTGCTGAAATGAAGTTTTCACCAATCAACTGCATTTTCTGTTCTTTAAAGCCATCCGTAATAAGCATCTGTAGTTTCACATGCATACCTTTGAGGACGACACCTTTGTCTGGTAAAATCGATAGCAGGTGTATACGGAGTATATGTGTAGTTAAAGTATCTGAATGTAAGTTCCGTACGCAATGTTTTTACATTAAAGTTGTTTGTATCAAGAAATTGAACAAGTTAATTTCGATTGTTTGTTCTTTTTGTCATTTACTTTCAAACGGTCTTTTAAGAACTGCACAACACAGAGTTAGGACTCAAGGAGTTGTTCTCATCCACACTGCACTTTAAAACTTGGCACATTATGGAAAATAAATAATGCGATGTAAAATTATCACTTGGTTTTGTAGATGTCTGTGATGGTGTTCTTAGCTGTGATCAAGGACAGCCCATTTATGCATAGTACCGGTTAGGCCCTCTAGATGCTGATGAAAGGCTGAAAGCACAGTACAGCTGTTTCATCCTCATTGGAATTCATTGGGAGGGTGAATCTCACAAAGCTCCTTTGGTCTCAAACTCGCGAGCCTCCAGTTTGCACTTTGGATGGACGGGATGGCTCAGTGGTTAGGGTACGAATTCACTGACCGGAAGGTCCGTGGTTCGAACCCGACCCCTGCCTATCAAAATGTCCTGTCTAGGCTTGGGTAACCTGGTAGTATTCCCTTGCTTCCTCTTGGTGGCATGGCAGTTAGACACCGAAAGTGTGCTGCAGCTGGAACATTTAATCGTCCGGCCACAAGCGACTGATCAGCGACTCGCACACAGACAGGATGTAGCGCCGCGGATCCCTCAGTCACGGGTTTCACATCGGGTTGTCACATATGTTGACAGGTCCTTCAAGAGAAGACTTCCCAGATGGGAGTTTCGTTCATCCCGTCTAAGTTGGGCCTAATCACCTTGCTGATCAGCCGCTCGTGGCCGATTTAAACTACTTGCCCGGAGGCTGTAGGTTCGAGGCTCCCCGGAGTTCTGCAGAACGCGCACTTCCGGTGATTCCCACTATCGTTAAATCATTTGTACAGTACTCCTCGGCTTTTCAGCAAAGCCTGACTTCATTTGTAGGACGAAATCGTCACCGAAACTCCCGAATATCCTTACACTATCAACCTTCGAATGATGTGTACGAGAGCTCCAAATCGTATCAAGAAACACTTTTGGTGGTTGCTTATCAAGGCTGACTTGATACCTGGGAGATAAGGAAACAAAAATTGGTTGTTTCGGATAGAGAAAGTAAAATGGAGACCAGAATGAATTTATCCGTTAGTGTGCCTTCATGCTTTGTGTAAGCTTCCATTTCTAGTTCAGACATCATCATCATCGTTGGGAGCAAGACCATGTGAGAAGACTGATGCTTCATTGCTGTACAACTGTGTCAACGTCCAATGGAAAGAAGAAAGAAACAGGGTCGGGAGTGACACTAACTGGCAAAGTCGCCTATAGCCTCTGCGTTGACTTCCTCTGTCACATCACCGTCGGAGATAATGCAACGTCCGAGAAACACATAGCTCTCGGCAACTTCCAGTGCCACTTATGCAGACTTTAAAGTCAAAACACAGCATAGTGGAACGTCCTAATCCAACCTTTCGGTTTTATTGGACAACCATCTTCAAGGATTTCTACAATTAGTTGATTGTAGACTTCTAGGGTCATTTCCTTAGATGGCTCAGTGGTTGGAGCGCAGATTTACTGAGGGACAAAGGTATTTGGTTATTTCGGAATCATGACAAAATAAGATAGTTTTTCTTAGCGTCGGACAATGTATAGATTGTATAGTATAGCATATAGTATGCAGTATAATATATAGTATAGTATAGTATGGTATAGTATAGTGTAGTATAGTATAGTACAGCATAGTATAGTATAGTATAGCATAGTATAGTGTAGTATAGTTTAGTATAGCATAGTATAGTATAGTATAGTATTGTATTGTATTGTATAGTATGTAGTATCGTATCGTATGTTTAGTAAAATGGATCATAGCCGCCACAAGAAACAATGAAACGGATATTTGTGTAAAACGTCTCCATATCATGAGTGGCTATCATACTGTGTCAAACTGTGAAAGTAAATGGAATGTCCTGAGAATTAGACAAACGCGGAAGTTCCTTTTCCCCAAGTCTATTCTAATCCGAAAATTGAAGCAGTGATCTCAGTACCAGGTTCTCAGTCTGTTACGGTTAACGTATAATATTCCATAAAATGCAATTTAAAGACACCTCTAAGTTTCACTGAATTTGACTAGCAAATCAATATTTCCCCAAGGGAATCGCACTATGTCAGCACATATAAATTCCTCATCAGTCTCCCAAAGGCCAACCTCGATTAACCAAAATTGACTTTCGGCAAAAACGTGACCTAAATGACATGGGCCTGCGTATTCTTATAAATTACTTCGCGTTTGTGTGGAGCGTTCTACCAGTAAGGGAATTTGGTTAAATTAGGGATGGGAGAGTGTTAGCATGTAAGTTAGGAATGTCTTTAGAATAAACGATCTTTCGTAGCAACCCGGAAGGTCATCATTGAAGAGATGCTGCAACTGCCAAGTTATGACTAGGCCATCCGAGTTGTTCTTAGACAGAAAACCAAAATGCAGCCGAGAATAGGGAGTATGCAGTTGTGAGCTAGGTTGACAAGGCCTACTTCATAAACGTGATCAAACTGACAACCCACTAGTCAATCCTAGATCAGGTCAGACACCAAGGCGACTGGTATCCGAGAGAAGTTTGGTGTCACACAAAGTGATACAAACATAGGAGAGTTGAATTTTAGATTCGCCTCAAAAACGATGAAGGGACGTAATCTGCCCGCAAATGACTGAACTGATAGCCAGAGGAAAATACAATAAAATAAACTAACGTACGCTACTGACGCGGATTTATTGTAAAACTTTTACTTACAAACACTTGTCAAACACAACCCAAGTGCATTATTGAAGGTTTTTCGATTGGATCTGACTTAAAATAGCCTAGAATTTAGCTTTGATAAATGGGATATTTAGAAAGGTCAAACTGACTGACTAAATTGTCGGCGGCTTGGACAAAATTTTGCTCTTCTCATTTTTGCCAACTGTTGGTCAATCGTTGGGAACCAATTGAGAAATAAGTTGAGTTGAATGTTTTTAACTTTCGATTACGTCCACACGTAATTCCTGAGGTTCATTAACAGCCGAGTGTGGAGATTGTAGACGGGTTTCGTCAAAGCGTCGTTTGTATCACATTCCGGTTTATCTACTCAGTTGAGCTCCGAAGCAAATCAAGGGACCGTGCGAATTCACATCTTGAGCCAACTCCACTAGAGTCAAGTCCAGAGTTGATGCGAATGTATCAGGAAGGTCACAGTCCTGAAAGCAATCACTGAATTCTGCAAGTCTACTAAGACTCTCAGCTCCGCTAGACGTTGACCAGACAGACAACACCCTCTCAACATGCAGCGCATCACAGCCTTGTATCAAACCAAGACAGCGCGAGTCAGCGTTGATCAACGCCCCGAAATATGCAGTGCGTCACAGCCTCGTACCAAGGCCAGACCGCGTGCGTCAGCATTGGACCAAGTTCAGACAGTGTCTCTCCAATAGATAGCTTGAGAATGTTGTACCTTTGCGCTCGCACGCACTGACGCTCTCGCACTTGCTTGTTTGGAATGTAAGTGTTGCTTTCCCTTCTGTGAGTCTTTTTTTCGGCATTAGGCACTAGAGTGGGTCAGCAGCGAATGAGCAGATATAACAGAATGCTGCCTACCATTGTCATTCAGTTTCTTCTTGTGGATGGACTACTTGGGTGGCCATTGCAACCTACTTTTTCATCAACAACTTGAGAGAAAACACCAACAATCAGAAAAAACCCGCGTGTTTAAGATGGTACTTAACACTGAGGACCAGCGGCTGTCTGAAGCAGTGCTTATTGTACCGTTTGACAAACGGCCTTCTGTCTCACATGCACAGTTCTCTTGAGAAGGCATTATCTATCTAGAAAGGGAAGCGGAAGATACTTTGAGAAAGTTCTTCGTAAAAGCGGACGAACGAGAAAATCCTTTCAGCAAATATTTCGTGCAGATTGAGTTTCTCAAGACGGGAACTGCTGCAGAATTCTGAAGAAGATTTTGATCGAAGGAGAATCGTGTTTTCATCTCTGCACTGTGGCGCAAATTCCAACTCAAACATTCCTGTTATGGAGACACGTTGAAGTCGTCATCAGTGAAGAGAACTGCTCGGGTGTGGTGGAATGATCGCTGAATACTTTAAGATTTCATTGTGAAGCATACAGTGTTTCTGTAAAAAAAAACGAAGGCTTATAGTCCAGGAGAAGAGGAGCAGCTCTGTCTCTGTCTTCGCCTGATACCCCGAGATATTATGTAGAGAAAGGGTAGGTCCTTAGGAACTTGATGACTAATTTTTCACTCACCACAAAAGAAAAATCGTGGTGACAAAGCAAGTTTCATTAACTTCGTAGAGCTGGTTGCCAAATAAAAAAATTCTTGGAACTGTTTTATCTGTGAATATGAAGGTACATAAAATTAGGACATTTTGACACTAAAAGGGGGGAGAATAACTCAAAATCCTGACTATCAGCCCAAATCAAACTTGATTCGGTCTGGTTTCAACTAAGTCGATTTGAGAAAACTAGAAACAATCTACTCATTCGCACGTCGCCTGAAGCTGACGGCAACACCAAATGGATTCGGTAGAGCAACCGTTCGCGCTTTTTCAACAAGCACTCCTCGGTTTCAGTCCCAGCTTATAAGTGTTGTTTCTAACCTCAAACTCTGTTGATCAGTGCGACCGTTTACTAGAACAGAACTTGAGCACAAGTCAACCAGCTGGCCGTTTCTACAACAGACTCGATCGGTTTGTGAGGGTGAAGACACGTTCAGGAGGCAAACACTTCTAGTTCACGAAGACTGTGGTTAACGTGTACAGCGAGGTCTTCCCAGTTAGTTCAGGAAGACGTTGGTAGTATTGCTGACAAGTGAGAAGTAAACTTGTCATCAGGTGGATATCTAGGTACAACGATGTATCTAAGATGTATGTAAGAGAAAACAAAGTCTTCCAGGTGTGTTTTCGAAAACTACAAATCCGTTGTGTCGGGATAGGAGAGGCTCAGGTTTTCAGTTGAATGAACAATG